TATCAAGTTGGTTATTGAACGGGTTAGCCGTATTGTGTTAAGAAGGACGTTAGACATGTGTATTCAGTTAGATGAAGCCTAGTGAGGACTGTTGGGGGTCCGTTGATTCAGACTATTATTGTGAAACATCTCTCTTGATTCATTATATTATTGTGAAGCATTCTTTGATTCATGTAATAAAAGGATCAATAATGAACCTGCATCTTCGAGTATCTATGCTGTGGTCAATGTTGTGTGGAATGAGTGGTTAGACTCGGGAAGGTCACATTTGGCGTTGTCGGCAGGGTAGCCAGAGACTCGTTACATTTGGCGTTGTCGGCAGGATAGACTGGGGGACTCGTTACATATATATATATATATATATATATATATATATATATATATATATATATATATATATATATATATATATATATATATATATATATATATATATATATATATATATAAATGTGTATAGCAGGATTCTCATATACCTCGTCCAGCCCCATATGACATGGCTAGACCAGTGGCCACTGGTTTATTCAGGCCAGCGGAAACAGCTTACCCCACCTCGACCACTGCTTGTCAAAAAAAAAAAAAAAAACAACAAAAGAATAATTCTAACAATTTCCTCTCCATCTGTCCACCTTCTCACTCCCCTCCCCTCTTTCTCCCACCACTCCCCTACCCCTATCTCTAAGCCTATTGCTCTTTCTTCACTTCTCACACTCTACCTTCTCTTTCTCTCTCCCGACTTTTATTTCCCCTTTCTCCCTCACCCCTTCCATCTCTCCCCCCCCACCCACCAACTCAGCCAAAACCCAGACGTCCTCCGTTAACCGCATCAGACGCACTGGTCAACACCTTGTTCTGTAGCTCATCAATTCAGTCCTACGTGTTAACCGTACCCAACAGTACTCAACAGTTTCCTTAGCCCCCACCCCCCAACTCACCAATTTCCTCACCCAGACGACTTCAGGGTTCAAAAGCCAGCATCCAACTTCTTAAAGTGTAAAAAAAAGTCCCCGACTAAAAGAATTTAGAAAAGAAACCTTATATTTTTCCCCCTTTGATGTCAAAGTAATACCAGACTAAAACTCTTAAGACGTAACAACGATCCTATATATAGAAATTCACGTGAGGCATCGCTTATCAAAACGAGGCTGGGGGTTTGGGTTTTTATTTTCAAATTTTGGGACGTACCCCGCTACGGCCCGTGAAGGGTTAAATATGTATTTAGTAGAAACTTGAATTAGGCAAATGTTGACTATGTCTGGTTTCGATCCAACGACCTTTGCGTGTTATGGTTTTTCTCTCCTTATGAGTAAATATTTCCCGTCAGTATTCGAACACGGGTCTACAACGTGAGAAGCGGGTCGCTATTCGAATCAACCAGACAGAGGTAAACACAGCGACAGTGTGAGAACCACTTGTATAAATTAGATTTAGCAGAACTGAAAGAAATATTCCGGGTTGCAGATGAAACGTCAAGGGAGGTAATAGAAGTAGGGGGTTCTTTTTTTTTTAAAGGGGAGATAATCAACGCAATCACTGATAAACCTGGGGGTATATCAACACAACTCCACACGGACATTCTTCAAGGCTTGATTGTCTGCATGTGTCGATAACGGTGGTGAGTTAACCACGTGACACCCCGCCACCCCTCCCAATCTTGAAAAAGCAAACAGGTTTAATTAAAAAAAAACGCCAAGGCAGAAAAGGGAGATAATCCGTCCAAGATGCGCAACTCCTGGTTAAACTGAAATTCTAGAAATTAAAAATAAAATAAAAATAACAACACAAACTTTAAAAAAATTTGAATGTGAAAAATGTTGCTATGTGGTATCTCTTAGTATCAATGATATGCTGTTTCAGTCTTGTCCGTTGTTTCGATTTCCTTATCTGTAACCAGAGTTTTTTCCAGGTATCTCCCAAAATTTTTTTACCGCCCCCCCCCCCCCGAACGAAATGAAATTTATATAATTTAAATAGAAAATATATACTTTTAACAGTGTCCGCCCCCCGCAGAAAGTCTACCGCCCCCCCCCCCCCCCCGGAGAAAAAAGTCTGGAAGAAACACTGTAACTGTTATACCAGCGCGTAGATGTTTGCCAGGTACGCTTTAAAGCTGGGTTGGCTCAAGGTTTTCACAATTGTTATTTCAATTTAAACTTAATTTATTAAACTTAATTTATTAAAAAAAAAGATTAATTGAAGGTCAAATTAATTGAATACCAAATTATTTGCAGCCCAAATTAATTTTAGGCCGAAATAATTTCATAAGCCAAAAATATCTCAGACTAAATAATTTAAATACCAACTTCATTTTAGAAAAAAATTATTTCGTAGGCCAAATTTGTAGCCAGACCAAATTATTTCTTAGGCCAATTTTTTAGCCAGACCAAATTATTTCATGGGCCAAATCTTTAACCAGACCAAATTATTTCATAGGCCAAATTTTTAGCCAGACCAAATTATATCATAGGCCAAATCTTTAACCAGACCAAATTATTTTCTGGGCGAAGAATATGATGTAAATTTTATCAAATTGGCAAGCACCTTCATCAATGGCCGCTTGTGTGACTGAACGTTCCAGAATCTCCTGATGAAATTCTTGTCACTTTTATGTAAGATGCGATCAATTCATGTCGAAATTTAAACGTAAAGAAAATCCCATAAAAAGGATGAAAAAAAACCCAACCCCACCATCCAATCAAATCACAGCAGACGTGCTTTTAAAATAGTCTGATCCAATCAAGCTCCGGATTTTAAAAATCGAGATGCGCATGCGCAAATCTCAATTCCATAACTTTATCACATGCGCGTACAAGCACAAAGAGTGAAAATATCTATTTAAAAAAAAACACAAAAAACAAATTCTAATAAAACACCTTCGTTTAATTTCCATACTGCTTACGCCAGAGTGCAATGAACTGGAAAAGTGGAATCCAACACTAAAAAAACGAGAGATCCAGTAATAAAGGGAAATAACTGGATCGTGTTTTCTTTGTTTTTGTAGCAGTTTCAAGAGGACTTAGTTGGGGTTTATATTAAAAATAAAGGAATTTATTTATTCTAGAAATAATATTAAAGCGTTTTTATGGTAGGTTAAATAATCTTTCAGTAAATTAATACATTTGCAATGGAGAAAATATCAGTTACAAAAAAGTCCAATTGTAGTAACAAGTGGGAGAATGTATTTTGCGTGCTACGCTAGAGTTAATCAATAATAAGCATAGCAAGTAACCATCATTATAGAAAGCAAAACGCCTACATGTATTTATGTACATATATATATATATATATATATATATATATATATATATATATATATATATATTATACATATATATATACATATATATATCTATGTATGTATGTATGTGTATATATATATATATATATGTATATATATAAATATATATAAATATGTGTGTTTTATGTTTATATATATATATATATATATATATATATATATATATATATATATATTATACATATATATATACATATATATATCTATGTATGTATGTATGTGTATATATATATATATATGTATATATATAAATATATATAAATATGTGTGTTTTATGTTTATATATATATATATATATATATATATATATATATATATATATATATATATATATATATATATATATATATATATATATATATATATATATATATATATATACGGAGTACTGTTCAATGAAGAATTCCCTCAAAGACAGCCAAACTAGACACAAAGTCTAGACAGGCCCAGATGTAGACAAGCTGGAGAAACTGTACAGACAGAATTAGACACAGCCACACCGGCAACCAGCGACTTAACTTGCTATTTTAAAAAAAAAAATCCTGGCAAAGATATTCGTGTGCCCGAATAAATGCGATCCAAAAAAAAAAAAGTTAAATACGCTTGTATTTAAGAAAAGTAAAAAAAAAAATCAAATTTTTAAAAAGGAGATAAAATGTTGGAGAATTAATTCAACGAATGTGGCGGATCGTTAAAAAAAATCTAATCTGGTTTTCTTTAAATCAAATTTTAGATGTTCATCTCAGTTTACTTGTTCCAATCTGACCCATATTTTAAAATATATACACACGCATGCGTATAATATACATGCACTTCATATAACCGTGCGTGTACACATATGTACATGTACAAACAAGTATCTCTCTATATCTATATCTCATTTTACCTCAAAATTTGTGAGTTAGAATCCAACTTGATCTGTTTAACCATAACACTTATCGCTACACAAAACTTTATACGATGTAGTTTTCACGAATTTTTACGAGTACATCACGCTTGAGATAACTTTTACCACAATTTTCTATAGCTATAGCCACCACTACTGTATAGTCAAAACTATTGTATTGCTATTGTAGCACTCATTGCCGCTTCTAAATTAAGAATATATCACTACCGTGTTTCCGGCTGTATTAGTTAAATCTCACTATACACTGAGGTGGTCGAGTGGTAGACAGCTCGACTGCTAGCTAGACGGTCTCGAGTTCGGATCTCGGTTGGGACTCGTGACTTTTGAGCTAGTAAAGGCGGCATCCATTCACACGCCGATAACAAGAAACATATGAACTCTACTTCATCTGCCCTATGGATATTTATGCCCAAATGGGTAACTTTAATTTACACTACATCTCCGCCACTTGCATACCATTATACAGATAATAATCACTACCCTGCCTCATAGCCAATACATGTATTCAATACTCTGACCGTTAACCCTGTACATATAGTTATCATTACCATGCTTTATAGCAGCGTCTTCCAGAATTTTTTTTTCTCCGGGGGCGGGGGGGGGGGGGGACACTGGTAAATATAATAAATACGTAAATTCCAATCGCATTGCGTTCAGGGGGGGGGGGTGCTTCCCCGAAGAGATGCCTGGAAGAAACTCTGCTCTACACAGGTAACTACCACTCCCCTGCTATACTTCCCATATCAAGTAACCATCAGGTAACCACCAGGTAACCATCAGGTAATCGTCACCTACCTTCTTATCGTAGAGCCGTGTATCAATCTTGTTCAGGTCGATGGCGTCGTGCATGGATGCTCTCCTCCGGCCAGGGTTGTAGCCAGATGGAGGGGTCGACGGTTGACCGTCTGATGACCCCCCGCTGGCCCCTGCCTTGTCGGATGGAAAGGTGAAGGCCAAATCTCTGGGGTGAGGGATCGTGGCAGGGGTCGCTGCTTCAGAACTCAAATCTGTGGGAGAGACAGGATAAATTAGCTAGATGCTACGGTGATCAGATAGAGGCTAGAATAGATCAGATAGATGCTACGATAGATCAGATAGGCTAGAATAGATCAGTTAGATGCTATGATAGATCAGATAGCGGCTAGAATTGATCAGTTGTTAGATGCTACGATAGATCAGATAGAGGCTAGAATGGATCAGTTAGATACTACAATGTATCAGATGCTAGAATTGAGCAGTTATATGCACTTTTCGTTTTTAGAAAAAAAATGAGCTACGCCCCTTTTAAAATTATCTTAACCATTTCTATCCAAATATTTAATTTTATTATCAGCAAAAGGAATTAAGTGATGTAAAATGAACGATCTATTTACCATACTTTTGCAACAAGGCTTTAGTGAAACTGAAATTGATTTGCAAGAGGTGTTAAGTACGTTTGGACCAATGATATCTAATCATATTTTCAGAGGCATCAATCATTAATTTCCCCGATGACACGTATAAGCCCCCACCCTTAATAAGAAAACCAGACAAAAATAAAGCTGTTCCGATTTAGTAATGGTAAAATAACATTTTCTATAAACACATTCCAGATCCTAAAATAAATGACAAAATAATTTTTTTTTGCATTTCATCGATTGAAAATCAAAAGGGGTTAAATGCTTACCCCACTTTGAAAAGGGTCTAAGCAAGAGTGATAAAAACTAATTATAATTAAGAAATAAGACCTCATTAATTCCCAACAGATCTGTGTGACCCGTCCAGCGGGAAAAATATTTTTATTGAGGCATAAAAAACACATCGGTAATTCTGATGTTGATAAATCAAATTGCATCCGGTGTACTTAAAAGCTTGAATCAAATTGATGACCCCTCTAAAAGCCTATAAAGCTTGTCACATGGGTTGCTGGGTTGGGGTGGATAATGAGGGTGGGATTGCGTTTAAAGCAAGCAGTGCATATTTGCGCATACCTGAAGACCTTAGTTCAATAAATTCGACCTGTAAAAAGAGTATCATTGAGTAAAGCGGCCTGCATATGCTATATAGACTTAATATTTTAAAATGAGGTCTCACGCTCATATAAGGGCCCTCATACCAATGAAAGGGTAAAACTTGCAAGGTTATAAAACCTGCAAGGTTATAAAACCTCTAGAATATAAAACCTGGATGATATGAAACCCGAATGTTATTGAACCCGCAAGGTTGCAAAACCTCCAAGATATAAAACCTGAATGTTATTTAACATGCATGGCTATAAAACCTCAAGGATATTACACCTGAATGTTATTTAACCTGCTAGGTTATAAAACCTCCGCGATATAAAACCTGAATGATATGAAACTTGAAAGATAATGGACATGCATGGCTATAAAACCTCAAGGATATTACACCTGAATGTTATATAACCTGCTAGGTTATAAAACCTCCGCGATATAAAACCTGAATGATATGAAACTTGAAAGATAATGGACATGCATGGCTATAAAACCTCAAGGATATTACACCTGAATGTTATATAACCTGCTAGGTTATAAAACCTCCGCGATATAAAACCTGAATGATATGAAACTTGAAAGATAATGGACATGCATGGCTATAAAACCTCAAGGATATTACACCTGAATGTTATATAACCTGCTAGGTTATAAAACCTCAACGATATTAAACCTGAGTGATATTGAGCCTGCTTGGTTATAAGATCCCCAGGATATTAAACCTGAATGATATTGAACCTGCAAGGTTCAAAACCTCCGCTGTATAAAACCTGAATGATATGAAACTTGAAAGATAATGGACATGCACGGTTATAAAACCTCCAGGATATTACACCTGAATGTCATTGAACCTTGCATGGTCACAAAACTTGCCAATCGAACACGTTTTATTCCCCACCGGCCGTCAGGTAATGAATCATGCAACAAGAAAAAATAATTATCTCAAGCCCATTACTCACGCCGTAAAAATATCTTGAAGCTCTCACAGGCAAGGTGCGCCAGGTGTCGTGGGAGCGTTAGAAATGATTACCTCCCTGCTCATTAAATTAAGGGTGAGATCGAGGGCCATTGATTAGGGTGATGCAGTGTGATTTCGGGGGTTAGGGTGCTCTTTAAATTTGTTTGCAGCATGTTGTATAGATAGAAGTTGGGGTGTGGGTAGAAGGGTGGCTGAGAGGTTCTGCATAAGTGGGGGGGGGGAGGGGATCATGTATAAAAGACGAAGACTGAGTAGTTACTTTATACGAGGGGATTGAAAGCTTCTTTAATACAAGGGGTTGAAAGGTATTGTATGAGAGGGGGTCGAAAACTAATGTATAGGAGGGGTTTAAAACTATAGGAGTGAGTTAAAAGCTAGTGTACAGGAAGGTGTTTTAAAACTACTGTATAGCAACGGGTTCAAAGCTACTGTATAGGAGGGGGTTAAAAGTTACTGTAATGGAGGAGGTTGTGCATCACTATAGATGAGGAGTGAGGGTGTTTATTTACTAGGTATAAGTTAGGGGCGGGAATCACATTGAGGAGGCTGGGGTGATGGCACAAGAGAGAAAGAGAGAGAGGGAGGGGAGAGAGAGGGACTGGGTAAAAACTGTGTACTGAAGTTATAAGGGCCACATTTCCACTCTACCTTCATCCCCAGTTCACTCAGACATTTTCAAGTAGCCATCATAAATTGGTGAGGGTTTATGATGACGAAAAAAAAAATCTCTTGCTAGGTTACGTAATCAGAAAGCAGATGGACACGACCATCTTATAGATCGTCATAATCAGGCTACTAGATTAACACTTGACTTCTTTGGTCATGTCAAAACCTTCAGGAAAAAATCGCCTTTGCAAGATGTAAAAACAAAATAATTGTTTAGGTAAGCAAAGTCTATAAAAGAGCCGAAGGAAGTGCACTTCTACCAGAACAGTAAATAGATTGTCTTAATGAGGCGTACTGTCAGTGTTGGGGACAAAAGAGCAAAAGAAAACAAACAAAAAACAAACAAACAATAGCTAGAAAACACGAACAGTTCTTTTAAAACTTGAAAACGAATACAATTAGTTTCACGCACTTTATTTAAGCCTGTATCCAAATGATAAGAAGAATTTAGGATAAGTTACAAACCTTAAATTAAATCCATAACTATTTTTATAATTTGTTTTGTCGAATATTTTGTTTCAATAACTAATTCCTTATCTTTGTTTCGTATTTTAGATATAATTTTAGGCTAAAAATTGTCCAATTATATCAGCTGGATGATGTATAAGATCGCTCAATAGAATATCACTGCTTCGCGAGTAAGATTTACTGGGAAATACAATTTCTTGTGCAATATGTAAAAAGTGGAGTAAAAGTGAAAAGAAAGAAAGCCATCGGCATGATCGGTAATCCCCGAAATAAAAGTACACCATTAGCGCTAAAAATAAAAACTTTAAACTGGAATTCCCGATCAATAAGGCGTCCATCTAGCTAGCTTTAAAAATCTTCTCGAGGATGCGCACTGATGCGTAACGATAAACCCGATCCGTATGCGGCGTGGTGCGCAAATTGAATTCAATGAGCTCCATCTTTGGGCGAGGGAAAGGAAACGTGGAAACAAAATATACTTGGCCAATTGTCACAGTGTCCAGTGTTTGGGAAACTATGGGACAAGTTAACCGGAAGTGGCCAGCGCGAGATGTTACAGGCATTGCGCATGTCTGTAATGAGGCAGGTGTTTAAGATAATCCAGAAACGAGAGACATGTCTTGATGGATTATTGCAACATTACCCGACACTTAGCTGGTTAGAACAGACGTATACACCATTCTACAAAATTGCAACAGATGAGGAATTGTCGTTTTTACTTACTCGTTTATATGAAGTATTGTAATCGTGCAAAAAATCGAAATAGAGATTTTCACAAATCTCGACTTTTTAGACCTCTCTGAGTCGGAAAAAACTTAATTTTACAATCTTGTCTGTGTGTCTGTGTTTGTGTGAACACGATAACTTGAGTACCGTTATAGCTAGGTTAATGAAATTTAATATATAAGTATTACATCAAATGTGTAGTTCTGTATCAAATTTCAGCGATTTCAAGTAACCGGAAGTGGAATTTATTTTGGTTTTTCAAAAGCCTATAACTTGAGTAGCCTACTGTTTCTGATAGATGAAATTTCACATATTAGTAAAAGATTGAATTCTCTGTTTTCTGTGAAATTCTGAGTGATTTCCGGTGAACGGAAGTAGTACTTAACGCTATATCCGATTTCTCAAGACAACGCTCATTAATTTATTTTTAACTTGATTTCCATTTTAATTGGTTCGCACTTCTTTTTTTCTACGAGATTCTATCCTATTTTTTAAAAGTTTTTAAGTATTTAAAAATTGATTACAAAATAATTTTTATATCCGAGCTCCAATTCCCATTAGTGCTATATAAGAATATTCGAGAAAGTTTAGGGGAGATCACTCTCGCTTTATTTTTAATATAACAAAACAGAACTATTGTAATACGTCATGGATCATTTATTGTTTTATTAAAAACAACATTATTTCAGTTATTTAATGTTATAAAAAGTTATAATGTAATACATTTAATGTAATAATTTAATGTTAAAAAAACTATCTTTTTATAACAGCAATCGATGTATCACATTAATGTTTAGAACACACACGACGACCAAGAAATAACCAATACAAAATGGAAACGGCCAGACAGTATGTCTAAATCGGTGGTTCATAACCGGAGTCACACACCCGACTCATATGATTCACGATCGGATTTTGTCAGCTGGGGCGATAGATTTATCAAGGAGGTTTCGGTGCATGCACCTATGAAATTGGTGGGGTTCGGTAACTCCAAAAAAGGTTTTAGAACCACTGGTCTAAATGGTTATACATATCAAGAATCTGTAGTTGCAGTTATTGAAAATCATATTGAAAATTATAGTAAAAATATAGATATTGTCTTGAATGTTCTGCTGTGTCTTTTACCAGTGTTTTGTTCGGAGGTTATTGACTAGATGATAGAATTGCTATTCAA